CTGTAGGACAGGGTCTGGCACAGAGCAGGTCAATAAATATTTAATAAATTAACAGATGATGAGTCTCGTTCCTACCAAGCTCTCAGTAAATGTAAGTGGAGTACTTGCCATTCAGAAACTAATGTTAATAGGTTACAAAAAAAAAAGAAAAAAAAGAAACTAAGTGACCTGCCTAGGGTTGCTTAGCCTATAAGGGGCTATAGGTCTGGCTGCAGTGGCCAGGAGATTATGTTGTCACTGCTAATGCTTAGAGGAAGTTGGCCAGCTTAGTCCCTATAGACAAATATTTTAACCTCTCCGTATCTGTTTTCACATGTGTAAAATGCAAATAAGGGCTGGCCTGTGGCTCACTCGGGAGAGTGCGGTGCTGATAACACCAAGGCCACGGGTTCGGATCCCATATAGGGATGGCCGGTTGGCTCACTAGCTGAGCGCGGTGTTGACAACACCAAGCCAAGGGTTGAGATCCCCTTACCGGTCATCTTTTTAAAAAATAAATAAATAAATAAAATAAAATGCAAATAATAGTACTACGTGCCTCAGAGGGTTGTTCTACATAATGCTCCAGAACAGTGTCTGGTCCGTAGAAATGCTTTGTAAGTATTAGCTACATCATTACTCCATCTCCTCTATTATCTGCCTGCCATCTCTAACAGGATGAAGAGGGCCCCCTGTTTTGCCCCCACCCTGGCTGCCCCCTAAAGGCCCACGTGTTCTGCCTGGCAGAGGAGTTCCTTCTGCAAGAACCAGGGCAGCTTCTTCCCCTAGAAGGCCAATGTCCTAGGTGAGTCCAATACCCCTACCCCAGCCTGGTCTGGCTCTGGGAAGAGGGTGCCCAGTTGTCCAAAACAGGGTCGGGCAGCTGAGTCCTCACCTTGGCACCCAAGGCCTAGCCTGGAGAGGGCCTGGGATGCCTGACTCTGTATCTCCTACCAATCACACCTCTTGGTAGCTGTAAGAACTCGCTGCTTTGGGGAGACTTGATCTGGCTGTGCCAGATGGGCACTGAGGAGGAGGAAGAAGACTCGGAATTAGAAGAGGTGAGAGATGGCTTTGGCCCCAGCCTCCCTACCCCACTTCATCCTCTAGGCTGTCTTTAACCAACTCTCTTGTCTCTACAGGAACACTGGACAGACATGCTGGAGACCTAATCCTCAACGTCCCAGCCCTCCCCTCACTCCTTTTCTGTCCTACCCCCAGTGGGTCTGGGCAGTTTTTACTTGAGTACAATAAAAAGTCTGAGTTAAGGTTATCTTCTGGTGTTTGCTGGAGGGGACATGGAGCTAGCAGGCAGAAGTCCTGCCAGTCACTGGGGCCCCGGGTGAGAGGAACAGAGGAGGAACAAGGAGTCACTGGCCCAAGCATGTGACCAGCCTTTTCTCTACCTGAAGGCCCCTCCACCTCAGCTTTCCCCAGCATGCCTGAGGTCACGAAGTTCTTTGAGAACTTGGGAGATTCACACCCTTGACTTAGAGCTTACCCCCCTTTAGTCCCTAGCTTGACTTTGGACTTTCATCCAAACAGTAAGGACAAAGGCTGGGGGTGGGGGGGGCTGGGGATCCCATGGGGCCCTGTGGCTGTCCAAGCCCCAAACACTTCTTGCCTCTCTCTGTAGAGTTCCCTTCAAACCCAGTGGGAAAAAAAAGCACCCCTTCTGGGGGTGGCCGTCATCTTTTATTTCCTTTGGTGGCTGGTCAGTACAGGGATCGAACATCAAGTGTTCATGTTATCAGCATCAAGCTCTAACCAACTGAGCTAACCGGCCAGCCCTGGGGGCTGATATTCTCATGGAGTGATGCTCTGTAAGGTACCTGGAAGCCATGAAGCTGGGGCTCACTCCCAGAGTTATCAGACTCCAGAGTCCTTGTTTCCACATCCTATGCTGCCTTGGAAAGAATCTTCTTTGCTCTGCTCCGCCCCAACCCCCTCACCCTGCCCACCCACATAACTTGCTGTGTGGTCAGAGCCACCAGTTCCTGTAATTCCTGGAACGCTGGGGGCCTGAACAAGTTGGCGTCAAGACTGGCTTGGCACCAACAAGGTGAGTGGCCCTGTTCCATGCCTGCCCAGCGTCTTTCCCCTCCAATCCTCTCCCTCCCTTGACTGAATCAATTAGAAGCAGCTCTGTTGGCCCGCCCCACAGGGGTGGAGTTTAGAGGGGCAGGCCAGGAGCTAGATTACAGCTCAAAAAAAAAAAAAAAAAAAGCCACCATGGGGCTCTTTTGCCTACTTTCAGTCTTTTGTTTTCTACACACTAAACCCATATCTTGGGTTTTTAGACCAGTCTAAGTTTGGCTCCATTTGGGATGCTAAGGAGAGTAACACAGAGCCCCCCCTCTTCCCCAAACTCCACCCTTTCCTTCTGGGAGGACAGTCAAGTCCCTAGGCGGGCTCCAGGTCCCTCCCACTTCAGACCTACAAATCCTTCAGCCAAGAGAGCAGCTCTGCACTCAGCACACCGCGTCCACGGTAAACGCAGCACAGCAAGGTCCGGTGAGTACCAAATTGCAGGTGGGCTCGGCCAGACCACCTTCACCCAACATACTTGAAGCAGAGGCCGGCTCCTGTCACTTGATCCCTCTGCTCTGGCCTCTAACAGCCCTGCTCTTTCCCCATGGATATCCCTTCTCAAAACAACTCCACTTTGGCCTGAATCCCCCACCCCTCTTCTGATAAGTTTTACTCTTTCATGTATCAGACTCTGGCCTGATAACAGGCTAATTTGTTCGGTTGGTTGTTGTTTTTTTGTTGTTGTTAGCTGGCCAGTGCGGGAACCTGAACTCTTGACCTTGGTGTTACAACACCATGCTCTAACCAACTGAGCAAACCAGCCAGCCCCTTCAATTGGCCATGTTTGTTTCCAAGCAAAGACAGAGTGTGGCTGGGCAAGTGGGATCACAGGCCTAGTCGGCTTGGAGGTTCCCGTGTGTGTTTGGCCTAAGGAGCTCAAGGGGCGGAGTGGTGGAGAGAGGAGCCCCTTGGGTATAGGCTGGGAGCCACAGCAAGAAGAGAAATAAAGCTGGCCAGCCGTTAAGTGAGGACAGGCAGGACCTAGAGGAATTTTCTAAAGTGCCGGCTGGAATCTCCTGTAAAGCTTCAAAAACCCTGATGTCTGGGCCTCACCCCCAGAGAGTGCTTTGATTGGCCTAGGCATTGGACTTTTGAAAAGCTCTGCAAATAAATCAAAGGTGCAGCCAGAGCTGGAACTACTACATTCACTTCATATTCTAGCTCCACTTCTTAACAAGCTTTGCGAAGTTGGGTAAGTCACTCAACCTCTCCAAGCCTCAGCATCCTTATCTTAAAGCAAGAATTCAGCAAATGGTATTGTTGATTTATTAAGTGGCTTTGCCCCCTGCTGTGGCAGCATGGAGCTGATCCAGGACACCTCCCGCCCGCCACTGACATATGTGAAGGGCATCCCGCTCATCAAGTACTTTGCAGAGGCCCTGGAGTTGCTGCAGGACTTCCAGGCCCAGCCTGATGATCTGCTCATCAGCACCTATCCCAAGTCCGGTAGGTGAGGAAGGCCACCCCTCTCTCCTGGCTGCAGTCCCCATCTCGGCCAACAGGGGTGTGCCCTTAGGCCTGCTCACCCCACATCTCCCTCCCTCTCCAGGCACCACTTGGGTGAGTCAGATACTGGACATGATCTACAAGGATGGCGACCTAGAGAAGTGTTGCCGGGCCCCCATCTTTATCAGGGTGCCATTCCTTGAGTTCAAAGGCCCAGGGGTTCCCACAGGTGTGTGGCAGGGTGCTGGGACAAGTGGAGGGGGGTAGGCAGAATGGGGGCTCCAGCTCAGCAGACCTTCCCCTATCCACGGCTTAGGTCTTGAGACTCTGAAAGATGTACCAGCCCCACGGCTCATCAAGACACACTTGCCCCTGGCCCTGCTCCCCCAGACTCTGTTGGATCAGAAGGTCAAGGTGAGTGGCAGGGGAAGCCAGGGAAGGTGGGTCCTGGGCCATCCCTGCTTTGGTGGTGATCTTGTGGGAAGGTCTCCTTGAGCCTTGTTTCATCCTAAGAGGGAGGATTCCTGCCTCAAGCTCTGGTGGGGTTGGACGACCAGGAGAGTGAGACTTTAGTGCAGACCTGAGAAATAGAGTCTGAGTGCTCACAGGCCTGCGGAGGGGCTGGTGGGAACCTGGCATGCCTTGTTCCAGATCTGGGTGGGATGACACTGATGGGATTAGATTTGTATAAGATATGATTCCAGGGACCAGCCAGGACTTTGGCATAAGAGAAGGGTTCCAATCCCAACTCACTCATACCTGTATCATGAGATTGCAAACAAGTCAGCCTCTGAACTGCTCAATTTCCTCCTCAGCCAAAATGAAAGAGCCCCTCCCTATGGCGATGCTGTGGAGGGTGACTGGAAAGCAGGATGGGGAACCCAGGACTGGTGTGGGGCATGCTGTGTGGTGATGGCGCTAGGGGTGGGGGGTCATCTGCCCCTGCAGGTGATCTACATTGCTCGCAATGCGAAGGATGTAGCTGTCTCTTATTACCACTTCTACCGCATGGCCAAGGTGCACCCTGACCCCGGCACCTGGGACAGCTTCCTGGAGAAGTTCATGGCTGGAGAAGGTGGGCCTGACTCTGGAGGAAGCAGGGAGGGTGGACTTGAGGGAGGGCCAGCTCTCACTAATGACAACCCGTGGCGCTGCCCTGTGCCTTCCTCCAGTGAGCTACGGGTCCTGGTACCAGCACGTGCGGGAGTGGTGGGAGCTCAGTCGCACCCACCCCATTCTCTACCTCTTCTACGAGGACATGAAGGAGGTGAGACCGCTTGTTCCTGCTTCCACTCCATGTCACACCTGGGGACCTGCCATGGCCCTCTCAGCCCCACTCCCCTGTGCCAGCCCCGGGACAGCCCTGGGCTTGCCAGCCCGCCTTCCTGGCCCAGGACTCAAAGGTAGCACCACCCGGGCAGCGTCCAGCTCTTATCTCCTAGCCCTGAGTCAGCTACACATGCAGGTGGTCAGCAATTTACTGCTGTCACTTCTCCCTGCCAAGGGGTGTGCCACACTCTGGGGCCACAGTTGTGAAAGAAGACTGTCCCTGTCGGCACCCATAAGGAAATAAAAGCTTATTACAAGGTCAAGGGCAGAGAGCAATTGGTTTTGCCCCAGAGAAAGAGCAGCAGCATCAAGAGCTGGGTCTGAGAGATTTCTAAGTGGAAATGGCCAGGTCCCTTTGAGGTTGGAGGGGACCCTGTTTTTATTTGCTCAGTGAGCAATACAAATACCACCGAAGAGCCTCAAACCTCTTCTGCTCCAGAACCCCAAAAGGGAGGTTCGGAAGATCCTGGAGTTTGTGGGGCGCTCCCTGCCAGAGGAGACTGTGGATTTCATCACCCAGCACACATCTTTCAAGGAAATGAAAGAGAACCCCATGACTAACTACAGCACCGTACCCTTTGACCTCATGGACCACAGTGTTTCCGCCTTCATGAGGAAAGGTGGGTGCCCGCTGGGTGTGGAAGCATCAGGGGAGCCTGCCCTGAGCCTTGGGGGCCTCTTCTGTGGTTGGGACTCCTCCCTATCTCCCTGCCTCCCCAGGCATTGTGGGGGACTGGAAAACCACCTTCACCGTGGCCCAGAATGAGCACTTCGAAGCCCACTACTCCGAGAAGATGGCAGGCAGTGGCCTCAGCTTCTGCTCGGAGCTGTGAGCGGTGCGCGCCAGCAGCTGCCCCAGGGGGTGCGGGAAAAACCCCCGGCCTGCAGCCTTGAGAATAAAATATGCTTCATGTTCACGCAGAGCCTCTGTCAGACAAGGGAAAACCTGAGCCAAAAGAGTAAATGCCCACTGGGACCAAACAAGGCCATCTCCCTTCTGCAGCCCCCAGTTCCCCAACTTGCCCTGTTTGTGGAGGGGAAGGAGGGCCTGGAGAAGTAAAACCCAGGAGACACAGCAGAAAATTTATTCAGTAACAGAAAATCCTTTGTCGCCTTCCCTGTGAGGGTGGCCGGAGATGGCAAGTCTGCCGGCTGGGCTCACTTTTTCTTGGGCTCCTTACAAGCCACCACATACCTCTGGGCCACATTAAGGGGAGGAGAGTAGCCATCTGCATACGAGGTGTCTTCAAACAGGACCGAGTAGTCGTCCTGGGGCTGCAGCAGGATGCAGACAGGAGGGGCCGGTCAGAGACAGCCGGGCCAGGCTGGTCTCCCCATCCCATCCCTGAGCCTAGACCCACAGGAAGCTGCAAGTGAGGGTTCCAGCCTCTCCTGTCCTCTTTCACTTTGCAGTCAAGGGATCTAGATGCTTGGCCCTGTCCCTGCTGCTACAGAGCACTTTTCTCAGCAACAAAGGGCCAAGGGCAGGGGACAAAGCAGGGAGAAGGATAAGGTTGTGCCATAGCTGGAGGGCTGGTGTCTTTCAGGGACCTTGTGTTAAGGTGATAAAGGACAACCCAGAGGGCAACAGGTGGGGATACTGGAGAAAGAAAGAACAGCCTTTAGGCTGCCATCAGGTAACATGTGACCAGGGCAGCGTGTGTCAGTGTCATCAGGACATCGGGGCTCAGTCTCCTCCCCTTACTGCAAAAGTGAGGTTACACCGGGGGACACAGCAGGCTGCTCCACTTGAGGCTTCCAAAGCTGGAAAGGGGAGGTGGCCAGCACTGCACTAGAGGACAGGCTGGAGGGGACTACAGAGCAGACTTGGGTAAGCAGAGAGGAAGGGTGCTCACAGGCCTCTCTAGCTCAGAGGCTGGGAGATGAGGGGATGGGGAAGGAGGAAAGAAGGGGGCCCATGACGGCTGGTCAGCCTGGCCTGGTGTCATGAAGAGCCTCCCTGGGGAGGCTGCCTTACCCGCTGCGGGGGCGTGTGGATCAGGGCCCGGTAGAAGCAGGTGGTCTGGGGATACAGGGCCAGCACCAGCTGCTCCTTCTGGAATAAGGCTTCGGGGTCTGTCTCAGGGTTGGCCTTCCACTGGGGCAAAGGGATGATCCGCCGTCGGCTCAGGGTGTGTCTCCTGGAGGGAGGGGGCAACGTCAACCCAAGGCCAGGTGGGGAGATGGCGTCCCAGCGGCTTGGCTGCCCCCAGACCTCCCCTGTTCCCCCAGACACTCACTCTTTGCCTTCCTCATCAATGTCATCCACCTCATACCTGCAGGCAGACCAAAGGAAAACGCTGGATGCAGTGAGGGCCCAGTCCAAGTGCGGAGGGGTGGGGAAGGGAGGGCAAGGAAAGTGGCTCCATCTGCCATCCCACCCACAAGCCTCTCCAGGGGAGCTTTTCTCCCATCTTGCAAAAAAGCGGCGGCAAAGCAGGGGTGGTGATAAGAGCAGCCCACAGGACTGGTGTCCACTCACTTGTTGGTGGCATGGCTGTAACTGACCACCTCAGCCAGGATCCACTGCTCATCCCCATCCACAGCCTTTACCCGGGCAGCCACTTTGTCTCCAGGTTTGGCCACGTAGTCCCCTGAGGCTGGAATGGCCCCACAAAGAGGTGGGGGCCTGAGAATGGAAGAAGGCATCAGTCCCAGTCCCTGGACACCAGCCCTCCCTTGCCAGCTCCCACCCTCACTTGTCGCCAGGCTTCCCAATCCACAGAGGCAAAGTCATGGCTGACTGCTGCAGCAGGGTCATCAGCACCCCTCTGCGCATGGTCTTCCGAGGGGGCTCCGAGTCATTGTACAGGCCCGCAATCTTGGCCGCTGTGGAAAGGAAGCGAGCCCCTGAGCACCAGGCTCCTCAGCACCATCCCTGCCACTAGATGTCCACGGTTAGACACTGCTAGCTAAGTACCAGACTGGTGGGACATCAGGACAGCAGATGCTCCTGGGGAGAAGGAACTAGGAAGGGGCAAAGGGGGCTTCCGAGGTGCTAACCATGTGTGATCACTGAGCTGCACACTTAACGTGTACTTTTCTACTAATGTATGTTGTCATCCAACAAAGAGTTAAAAAAAATAAACTACCAAATGTGGACTTCTGACTGCCTCAGCCACAGCTTAGCACACCCACCTAATTTCAACTAAAACCCAGATGGCAGTGTGACAGCACTCTGATGCATATGCCTGCCCAGCATGGGCTTGTTGGAAGGTTAGGGGAGGGTGGTGGCCTGGGGGACCTGGGCGCCAGCACACTGTGTGCACTCCCATCCGCAAAGCTGGCTCCAGACACACAGGGTGAGGCTCTGCAAAAACACCATGGCCAGATGGGAGTGGGTGGTGCCAGGAAGGTGGGAGGTGACTAGCCCAGGCCGCAGAGGAAGAGAGAACAGGAGGGGCCGGGGGCAGAATAACCTTGGTCTGCGGAGGGAAAACCAGGGAAACCCTGCCTCCAAGCATTGGGAAATCTCTATGCCCTTCCCAGGTCCACCCTGTCAGGAGCCCCATGGAATGACTGCACCAGGCTGAGGACACAGGCTCCCCCAGGGAGACATGACCACTGCTCTCAGGAACCCTCACTCTGCCTGGTCAAGCGACACCAAACTTGGCCTCCCAACTCACCGATCCGCCTCTCTTCCAACAGAGACTTGATTTCAGCAATCTTATCTAGGGCCTTCCGGAGGATGCTGAGGGTGGGAGAAGGGAGAGAAGAAGTCTGGCTGAGGCATGCAGCATAGACCTCCTGTGTAGTTATGGCAGGCTGGGTTATTCAGACCAACCCTGCTGCTGAAAACTAGAAACCTACGTGTGTGTTTTTAATCTTAAAAGCATGAAAAGCAAGCCAGTAGGAGTGGCAGGCCAAAGCCTCCCAGGGAGAGCGGGGTTGCAGAGAGGCAAGTCAGGCGGGGAAGATGCCTTCGCCCTGAGTGCATCTGATAAATCCTGAAGTTCTGGTGGTCTCTACCAAACTCCTGTGATGCAGAGGACAGAAGTTCAAACTCAGGGTCTGCCGTAGCTGGGACACATAAAAGGAGAAACCCCCCGAGGACTGTGGGGAGAGATGTTAGCTCAGACAGGGTTGGGGTGGAGGGAACCATCCTTGAAAGGCTACAGCCACAGATAGATCCTCACGTGGACTTGCAGCCCCAGGAAACCCCTGCAAAGTCAGTTTACAGGGGCTCCAGGGTGGCAGGGACCCAAGTACCCAGCAGAAGCAAACACAAAGCTTTGCTGGAGGCAGGCTTCTTTATCCTAGGTCTTGAGAATCTCCCCAAAGAATATTTCAACAGCAACAAGCAGTGCAGACTCCACTTTGGGTCATTTTGTTCTCCTCCGCTCCTAAGGCGAACCCCAGTCCATTCCTCCAGCAAACCTCTATTGAACACCCCATGGTACTAAAGACCTTTGCCCAACAGGAGAGGACACATATGAATACAGCACAGCATCACGAGAGGGGTCCCAGAGCATGTGACTCTGCTGGAGCTCACAGGCAGAGGCCAGGAGACGGAGCAGGGGCAGGGGCAGGGGCAGCCACACCAAAGCAGGGGAGTGAACAGCTGGCCCACTATGTTTGGAGTGGCGCCGTTCAGTGGCTGGTGTGTGAGGCAAGAGAGGTTTGGCCAGAGCTGCCGCAGGCTAGGGAGCACTGGGACATGGGGCAACCAGGCCTCCCAGACAGCAGAGAAAGAATAAAAAGCAGGAGGCCAGAGGTTGCTTTGACAGTCATTGCTGGGCCTGTCTGGAGGTGGGCCTGTCTGGAGGACACAGTTTATAAACTGTTCTGTGGATACGAATGGAGTGGTCCTGAGGTCTAGCTGGATGCCAGAACCTCCCAGGGAACTTATAAAAAAATCCCAATTGCTTCAGGCAAGAATCATAAACAGATGTTATCACTGGTGGGTTTGATGTGAGACAGGATATTACACAAAGTATCTCCCCACGAGACAATTACACAATGGAAAAGAGCAATAATTCGACACTGGAGAAATTTGGAAGGCACCACCTCAACCAATGGGACAAGCAGTCTCATGCCTTCTAATATGACGTGCTGAGGACAACGTCACTTCTGCACTATTACTGCCACAAGTGCCAAACCTGAATCTACTAGTGAGGAAACCCACAATGAGATTAGTCTTTGAAACAATGTAAGAAAATAGCCTGTGCACACCAGGGAATGGAGTGCCATCCTCCACTTGAATGTGGACAGCAAGACCTCTAATCTTGTTTCCCTTTGGAACGCTGCTGCCAATGTGCCATCTCAAGGCTTTTTAAAGAAAAAGACGTGAATTGTTAAATAGAGACACTGGGTTCCTCTCCATTTTCTGCAAAGCAAAGGGCAGAGGAAAGCCAGGAGGCGGCTGTGGCACGCACAGGAGAGAGAATGGCTACACCTCATCTCGGGCTCGGGCTCAGTTCCCAGAGCTGGCTCGTGGCGCCTCTTCAGCTTCCTGAGGATTTTAAACAGATCTGCTGGGGAAATGAGCCGGTGCATATGACAGCACCCAGCTCAGCGATACGGTGTCACACAGAGGCGTGGGTTTTCCCCACCTAAACTCCGAGCACTCTGCACCCACCCTCACTCCCCAGCACGGTACTGGGCTGAGGAGGCCTTACGCGGTGTTTATTCAGTGAATGTATGAAGGCTTGAGAATCTGAAAAAGTGAAAGCATGGCAGAATTGCAAGAATTTGGGCCCTGCATTTAGGAAATGAACTTGCAAGTGTTTAAGTCTGGGGAAGTCAAGGCGACGGATAGCCCACATCAAACTAGGTCCAGAGTCATTCACTCTGCCAGCAGTCGGGCTGGGAAGAGACTGTTTTTACTCTTAAGCAGGAGTCACTCCAACTTACTCATGTCAAACTCTAGCTCAGATGAGTGGGAAAGGGCTCAACTCTGGCTAGATGATAAATCTGCAAATCAAGAGGAGGTGGGGTGGGGGGCTGTGCTGGAGGGCCAAAAGAAGGAAGCCACTTCACAGGCAACACCTGCCATCAGAATTCACTGTGCCGCCTCCCTGCAAGCCAGCCCTACCTTTTCTTCTCCCCAACCTGGCAGCAGGAGCCCTACCAGACCCCTTTGTCCGAGCCTTGTCAACCTCTTCTCGCCCACTGATCTCCCACTTTGACCTCAGAAACTGCTCCTGAATCTCTCCTTGCTCCCCACCCCCACTGCCACTGTCCCAGTTCTGTTGCACCACCACCTCCTGCCTTAGGCACTTAATAGGCATTATCTTACTTATGTTTACAATCCTGTAGGCAATTATTACCTCTATTTTAATGACAGGGCCACTGAGTCTCAGCTGAAGTGGCTGCCCAAGGTCACGTGACTAGTATATGGCAGCACTGGGGGTCGGACCCACGCCCTGCTGCCATCTGTAAAGCAGGCAAGAAGGAGGAAAGAAAGCAGCTAGGGGGAAGCATCGGCCTAGAAGCAGTCTCCAGGGAAGGTGGCACCCAAGGGAGAGACTGGGGAGCAGGAATTGACTCAGCCATGGGAGACCAGGCAGGCCAGGGGCCATGGACCACCTGCAACCCGGCGCCCAGGCGAGGAGGGGCAGGCAGGTTGGTACTCACTTGCACTCGGCCTCTGCATCAGCCTTGGCAGTTGTATAGAGGCCACGCAGCTTTGTCCGGTAATAGGGAGAAACTGTAGAGGAAACAGGGATAAGAGGCACGGGCAGTGACATGTCATTGTTTCTGGTCACTTTGGGAGGCTCACAGAGGCTGTGGCTCGAAACACGAGATTGAAAAGTGCTCCCAGCAGCTGTGCCCTGTGTTCAACGTCCACATTTGCATATAGTACAAGTGCCATCACTACATCTATGAGGGTACTTTCTAGCCTTTTCTATAATCGTGACACACACACACAGAATATTTGTCAGCACAATTCTCAAAGCTACTTGGAGCTGGGAGTCTGGCCCCCTGTGCCTCGGGAAGGTGCAGGGGCAGCCTGGAAGGGAAGCTCTGCTCCAGAAAGCACCAACTACTGGGGGCCTGTGTATTCTACAGGTGAGTTTCCCTGGTGCAGCCTCATTTCATGGACTTTGCAGGCCCGAGTTGAGGGATTTTAAGGTTCTTTAGTGCTATGCAGTCTGTCACCAGTCACTGGGTCACTTTAGGTCACCCAGCCTAAGGGAAAACTATCCCTCTAGTCTAAGGAGCAATTCACTTTGGAATATGCAGATACATGCAAAAGTCCCTTCTGAAAATGCTAACAGCCACGTCCAGTCTTGACCCACACCTACTTCTCATCCCCCGTCTTTCCTGAGCCCCGCCACTCACTCTTGTTTTCTGTCTGCATCCGCTCATGGGTCTTCTGGATGTTTACAAGGTTGTGTTCGCTCCGTGATCGCTCCTCCTGTGAGGATGAGGGCAACGGGACATGAGGGAGGCCCTCCATCCTGCTGTGGCACCTGCTTCCCAGGCCAGAGGCCCAGCCCATGAATATGGCTCTCATTTTCTTTCTTTCTTTTTTTTTTTTAAAGATGACTGGTAAGGGGATCTTAACCCTTGGCTTGGTGTTGTCAGCACCAAGCTCAGCCAGTGAGTGAACCGGCCATCTCTATATAGGATCTGAACCCATGGCCTTGGTGTTATCAGCACCACACTCTCCCAAGTGAGCCACCGGCCGACCCCGGCCCTCATTTTCTAAATCCAAAGTCGGGATAAGTTCAAGATGATCTTTTTCCCCTGACTAATACAAAAGCATTACAAAAGGTATTAAAGGTAAATCATAAGCTTTATCTTTAATGACACTTCTTTATCAAAAAGAGACAAATTGATCTACAGATTCAATGGAATCCCCATCAAAATTCCAACTGACTTCTTTGTAGAAACTGAAAAACTCATCCTCAAATTCGTATGGAAATTCAAGGGACCCAGATTAGTCCAAACAATCTTTTTTTTTTTTTTTTAAAGATGACCGGTAAGGGGATCTTAACCCTTGACTTGGTGTTGTCAGCACCACGCTCAGCCAGTGAGCGAACCGGCCATCCCTATATGGGATCCGAACCCGGGGCCTTGGTGTTATCAGCACCGCACTCTACCGAGTGAGCCACGGGCCAGCCCGTAGTCCAAACAATCTTGAAAAAGCAGAACAAAGTTGGAGGACTTGCACTTTCCAATTACAAAATTTACTGCAAAGCTACAGTGATCAAGATGATATGGTCCAGCATATAGATCAAGAGAACAGATTGAGAGTTCAGAAATTAACACATATATCTACGATCAATTGATTTGGGGAAAGAGAGGAGGGGAAGGATGCTGGTACAGTTCTTCCCCACATCAGTGGTCCTAGGACCACAGCTGCAACTGCAGATGCTAGAAGCAGGGATGATCCCTAAGCAAGAATTTGTCACTATACCTTTTGACCTTTATGTAAGAATTTGTAAGTGCCTGGGGATGCCTTTACCCCATGATGGAGTTTGGATGTGTTGTCCCCTCCAAAACTCATGTGGAAATTTGATCTCCAATGTGGCAGTGTTGGAAACTGATTGAGTCATGGGGGTGGATCCCTCATGAATGGATTAATGCTCTCCCTGGGGAAGGGGGAGTAATGAGTGAGTTCTCGCTCTATTAGTTCCCGTGAGAGCTCGTTGCTTAAAAAGACCTTGGCACCTTCTCTCTCTTGCTTCCTCTCTCCCGCTTCCTCTCACCATGTGATCTGCTTGTACCCGCCAGCTGCCTGCCACTTTCCGCCATGAGTAGAAGCAGCCTGAGGCCCATGCCAGATGCAGCTGTTCCAGAATTGTAAGCCAAATAAACCTCTCTTGTTTATAAATTATCTAGTCTCAGGTATTTCTGTTATAGCAACACAAACGAACTAAAGCACCCCATCTGGCAAAGTGGGACTAACAGTGAATATAGCTTTATTACATAGAGGTCAAGATAGCCCACTAGCGTGTACCTATGTAACCCTATACTATATGAATGGGAATGGACTAAGCAGGGGATGACACTTGCTGACTAGTGTTGCTGCAGGCAATCTATACAAGCACAGTGGCTCAACCTAATATCCCTTCCAAAGGTGGAAAAGTTTGGGTAAAAATCAATGAGAAATGAAAAGAAGGAGAAATGGAAAGAAGAAGAAATAGAAGCCAAGATAAAAGAGTGAATAAATGGGTTATGCGATAATGGAAATCCAATATTCTATTAATACTTCAAGAGAGGCTCAGGGCAAGAGAGTAACATTGTCTCTTAATTCAGTTATACCAGATGCTTGAAAGGGTGAAGCCAATATGTCTGCCAAGACCGCTCCTGCTCTTAGAACCTGACAGGGTCAAATGGAAGCCCGCATGCCTGAGTGGCATCCCTGAGAGACATTCTGGTTACATGGTCTGATGATAAACTGTACTAATTGTTGATAACAATGGAACTCCAGTAATGTACAGTATCTTTTCTTCCCTTTATTTTAAAATTTTAAAATAATTTAAATATTTTTAGAGCAGTTTTAGGTTTACAGAAAATTTGAGCAGAGTATAGAATTCCTATGTACCTACTCTCCCTCTGAAATTTCCCCTTGTTAACATCTTGCATTAATTTGATATGTCTGTTGCAATTGATGAGCCAATATTGATACACTGTTATCACCTAAAGCCCATAGTTTACATTAGGGATCACTCTTTGTGCTGCACAGTTCTATGGGTTTTGACAAACGCACCATTACGGTGTCATACGGAATAGTTCCACATCCCTAAAAACCCTTTGTGCTCCACCTACTCATCCCTCCCAAACATGCTCCCATCCCTCCCAAGGCCCATGCAGTCACTGATCTTTTTATCATCTCTATATTTTGCCTTTTCTGAATGTCATTTAGTTGGAATCACACCTTTCAGACCGGGTTCTTTCACTTGGCAATACGTGTGCCAGTATCTTTTGACTCTTATTTTTCAAGTTACATCTACTACAGAGGCTCTCATTTAGGAAGATGTTTCTAGGAAATACTACCTCCTGGGCCATCAGACTGTGTGATGTACAACTGCCAGCAGACTAATCACTGTGTAACTACAAACCCAGATGACTGAATGCTTGGAGAGGTCCCTGGTTATAATGGACAAAATACAGCAGTGTCATGCCCAACATGCCACAGTGTGCTACAGGCACAAATACGTATCACCCTTGTATTTGGGAATGAAAAGCTATCACAAAGAATACAAAAAAGTGTGTTTATGATAGGATTAAAGCAGTAGGCATCACATGGTCCCAATTCTCCTGGGGAATAGCCCCACCCAAGACAAAGAAGATTATGGAAGGCCATATGGTATACTCGGGAGACATAACATCTAGTTGTGACCACCACTCATCTAACCCTAGTAAGGGGCACCACATATTTTTGGGTACAAAATATGTATCCTTGGGGCTGGCCCATGGTTCACGTGGGAGAGTATGGTGCTGATAACATCAAGGCCATGGGTTCGGATCCCTATATAGGGATGGCCGGTTGGCTCACTTGGGAGAGCGTGGAGCTGACAACATCAAGTCAAGGGTTAAGATCCCCTTACCAGTTATCATTTAAAAAAAAAAAAAAAAAGTGTATCCTAACTGCCCCCAGGCCATGTGTATACAATGGTAACAACATGTAGGGCGGAGTAAACAACACTGGCCCATAGACAGAAAGGCTTTAGGAAAGGTAGGTGTGGGTCAAGTTGAATTCATGTTTAATTAGGAGCAGCATTCAGAAGAAAAAGATTTGTTAATTAGAATAAGCAGATTAAAGTGAGTTTCCTTCTAGGAGGATGGCAAGAAATGGTGTCAGTCTAGAAAGATGATGCAGATCCAACAAATTATGCTGGGTAATTCCAGGGCCCACCCATTGCTGGGAAAGGGCTTGTACCCTGATCCACCAGGGCCTCTGGGCTATTTTAATACAAACAGGGGCCAGAGTAGCCATGAGGCATGGTCCTCCATCCTAGCTGCAGAGGCCCAAGGGGCACACCTATGAGAATTGTATGGACCTCGAACCTATGGAAGTCCTATAGGGGACTGTAATTTACATTAATGCACATGACTGCCCTTGACCCAAGAATAAATCAAAATAAGACATATCCTAAAGTATAGTTAGCAGGGATAGGAATTATTCTGAATATCACCTGTGTCCTCCCCATAGGAGGTAGGTGGGCCCTGCTATGTAACAGCACATGATGGGAACCAGTCTTGGTAAAAGCCTGTGAGGTGAGTCAGGGTGACTGGCTTCATCCCCAACTCAGCTGGAACCCAGAAATAACTGAATCGTGGCCAATTGTAATGATGCCCATCCATGGTAATATCTGATATCTGGGCAGGGGCTGATTCTGTTGGGAAGGCATAACAAATACCTTCGTAATTCTTGCTAATCTGTTCTGTAATGAAATTGAATTTCACCATGACCACACTGCAATAAGGTACTGCATGCTGGTACTGCTGGTAAGATTCAAATACCCCATGTAAATGAGTCCTATGATAATACTGATATTGATGACCAAACGTAAGCCTACTCAGAATTTAATACTGATGGAAAATGACTAGCCTGAGGAAGAACTGGATTTAGCTAGCCATCAGCTAATTTCTATACTAAACAGTTTTATGCAAATTTATCACAAGGTACAAACAGTGGAAGATGGCGGTGGGGGGGGGATGAAGTAATCAAAATGGAACAAAAATATGAAAATGTGTGTAATGGCTTTACAGGACAGATTAGTTGTTTCTTTCTTTCTTTCTTTCTTTCTTTTTTTTTTTAAAGATGACTGGTAAGGGGGTCTTAACCCTTGACTTGGTGTTGTCAGTACCACGCTCTCCCAAGTGAGCCACAGGCCAGCCCTTAGTTGTTTCTTTAAGTCTATCTCTACCCCACACTTGCTCCTCCAAATGTTAAGCATATTCGTATTGACGGTATTACTCTATCTGCTATATAAATGCTATGCTAAATACAGATGCTCAGACAAATATGATTATTGTGCTGTAAGAGAGCCTAGGCCAACAGGGCAGCCTGTGCAGCAGGCCTGGGTTGTCCAAACCGTGCACATTCCAAAAAAGGTTTGACCCTTAGCCAGCTCCTGGGAGATAACCCCTAAATCCTTGGAAAATCTTGCCTGGTAAAGCATGTCTTTGTTTACCTGGAGTACGGGGGTGGAGGGAAAAGGGATGTGACAGCTAATGGGTGTGGAGCATTTCTGTCATGGAATAAAAATTTTCTGAAAATGATTGGGGTGATGGTTGCACAACTCTGAATACACTAAAAACTATTGAGTTGTACACTTTAAATAGGTGCATAGTATGGTATGCGAATTATCTCTCAATAGAGCTGTTAAACAAAAAAAAACCATGAGATTTTGTACATGACAGAAAATCCAATGGGAATGGCAGTCATACCCCAAATTCCCTTCCTCTCACCTTCATTACATCTTGGTCCCTGCATGTCCAATTTCCCTGAACACAACCCATATCCCCACCCCTCCAGATCTCAGCATTACAGTCCATGCTCCCTCTAGAAGTGGAGGGCTGTGGCTTTTCACCTGAGTTTGCTTGATCAGCTGATGGAGCTCGGTAAGAAGTTCTGCAATGCGGGAATCAGCAGACACGAGGGCCATGGTATACAACCAGCGCTGCTGCGGGAGGGAGAACAGCAGAGAACTCTGTTAGTGGCTGTGGTGCGTTGAACAGTGACCCCTCAAAAGACGCACTGAAGTCCTAGCCCCGATACCCGTGAATGTGACCTTATTTGGAAATAGGGTCTTTGCAGCTGTAATTAAGAAGTACATTAAGATGAGGTCATATTGGAGTAAGGTGGACCCTTAATCCAGTATGACTGGTGTCTTTATAAGAAGAGAAGAGACACAGAGAGGGAAGACAGCCATCTGATGACAGAGACTGGAGTTAAGCAGCTGTAAGCAAAGGAATACTAAGAATCGCCAGCAACCACCCAACGAGCTGGAAGAGAAGCATGGAACATATTCTCCTTCTGAGCCCCCAAGGAGGAACAAACCCCTGATTTTGGAACCAAGTTACATCTTGATTTTGGAATTCTGGCCTCCAGAACTGTGAGAGAATACTTTTCTCTTGTGTTAAGCCTCCCAGTTTGTGGTAATTTGTTTTGCAGCCCTAAGAAACTAATAAAATGGCAAGTTGTCCTGGAATTCTGCCTCACTCCAGTGATATATCTGTATTCAATGTATTCAGCCAAGTCAAGGAGTATTTGTTAAGTGCCTTCCAAAGGCAGCATCCTGAGCCCCAGCTCTGCTGATAATATCCTGACAGATGATTCAAGTTGTCTGGTCTCCATTTTTTAATCTGTAAAATGGGCATCACCACTGCTATATTTTGGGAGATTCTAATAAGATTCTATATGAAGACACGTTCCAAGTCATAAAGCACTGTTACGTTCTTACTGTAGAGGGAAGAGAAATCAACTACTAAAAAATATCTCACTCAAGGTGTGATGAATGTATTCTGGTGAAAATAAAATGCTTTTGTACAAAAAAAAGTAATTAGAAAAAGAACAAAAAGACAATAAAATGTAATAAAAAGAGTATGTTATGACTAGTTGAAAATGGAAATATGCCTAAAGATAAAGCTATACTGGATAAAATAAGAGGAAATATATAAACCAGGAACAGAGAGGAACTTCCTCGACCTGATAAAGGGCATCTATGAAAAACCCACAGCTAACATCGTGCTTAATGGTGAAAGACTGAAAGCTCTCCTTTAAGATCAGGAACAAGACAAGGTTGCGCTCTTATCACTTCTATTCAGCATTGTTCTGGAGGCCCTAGCCAGGGCAATTAGGCAATAAAATAGAATAAAAGGCATCCAGATTGGAAAGGAAGAAGTAAATCTCTATTTGCAGATGGCATGACCTTGTATATAGAAAACTCGAAGGAACCCACTAAACAACTGTTAGAACTAATAACAAGGTTAGAACTAAGAGCGAAGTCACAGGATACAAGATAAACAGACAAAAATCAATTGTTATTTTTATATACTTGTAATGAACAATCCAAAAACGAAATTAAGAAAACAACCTAATTTATGATAGCATCAAAAAGATTAAAATACTTAGGAATAAATTTAACAAAAGAAGTACAAAATTTTTACTCTAAAAATCACAAAACATTGTTGAAAGAAATTAAGGCTTAAATAAATGGAAAGACATCCCATGTTCATGGATCAGAAGATTAAATATTGTCAAGTCCCACCTACAAATTGATAATCAATAGATTCAATGCAAGCTATCAAAACCTATCAAAATCCCAGCTAGCTTCTATGCAGCTTCATCCTAAAATTCATATGGAAATTCAAGAAACCGAAAACAATCTTGAAAATGAAAAAACAAAGTGGGAGGACTCACACTTCCCAATTACAAAACTCACTACATAGCTACAGTAATCAAGATGGTATGGTACTGGCATTAAGGAAAGACATCTAGATCAATGGAACAGAATCCAGAGACCAGAAATAAACTCCATAGTCAACTTATTCTCAACAGGGTGTCGAGACAACTCAATGGGGGAAAGAACAGTCTTTTCAACAAACTGTACTGGGACAACTAGATATCCACAAATAAAAGAATGGATTTGGTCCCCTACTTCAGACCATATACATAAATGATCTGAACAGACAGTTCTCCAAAGAAGATATACAAATGAGCAACAAGCACATGAAAAGATGTTCCACATCAGGAAAATGCAAATCAAAACCACAAAGAGATAACACTTCACACCCACTAGGATGGCTATAATCAAAAAGAGACATAAAAAGTGTTGGCAAGGATGCGGAGAAATTATATGGATACACGAAGTGTGGTATTATCCATATGACGGAATATTACTTGGCAATAAAAAGAAATTAAGTACTATCATATGCTTCAACATGGATGGATCCTGAAAACAAAAGACCACATATTTTACGTTTCCATTTACATGAAATGTCCAAAATAGGAAAATCCACAAAAATCTGGGTGGGGAAGGGTTGGGAGAGAAAAGGGAACAACTGTTAATCTGTTAATGGGTATGGGGCTTTTTTGCCAAGTGATGAAAATGTTCTAAAATTGATGGTAGTGATGGTTGTGCAACTCTGAATATTTTAAAAACCACTGAATTGTATGCTTTTAATAGGTGTGTATCCCATGCCTCCCAGCCCTGTGAAAACACTCATCTACTTTCTGTCTCTTTACATTTGCATTTCACTTAATTGCTGAATAATATTCTATTGTTTGGATACACCACATTTTTTTGTATATCAATCCATCAATTGGTGGACCTTGGGTTGTGTCCATTTTTTGGCTATTATGAATAATGCTGTTATGAACACTTGTGTACAAGTTTTTCTTTGACATAATGTTTTCATTTTCCGGGTATATATCTAGGAGTGGAATTACTGGATCATATGGTAATTCTGTGTTTAATCTTCTGAGTAACTGCCAGACTGTTTCCAAGGTGGGGAACCATTTTATATTCCTGCCAGCAATGTATGAGGGTCTGATGTCTCTGCATCCATGCCAACGTATGTGATTGTCTGTCTTTTTGGTTACAGCCATCCTAGTGGGTGTGAAGTGGTATTTCAATGTGGTTTTTTTTTTATTTTTTAAAAGATGACCAGTAAGGGGATCTTAACCCATGACTTACTGTTGTCAGCACCACGCTCTCCCAAGTGACCCACAGGCCGGCCCTCACTGTGGTTTTGATTTGTGTGTCCCTGATGGCTAAAGATGTTGAGCATTTTTTCATGTGCTTATTGACTATTTGCATATCTTCTTTGAAGAACTGCCCTTTGCCCATTTTTCAGTTCAGTTATTTGTCTTTTATTATTGAGTTGTATCATTGAAAGCACATGTTTTTAATTTTTATGAAGTCCAATTTATTTTTTTCCTTTTTTGCTTGTGACACTGTTTTTCCCACATTTGGCAACACTTTTTAACCCCACAAATTTACATAATGCATTTTCATGTACAGAAGAACATGTCCCTTTTAAAAAGGCTTGCTGCATTAGCTAGAACCACATGGCCAGCCCACATGAAGTAATGGACCTGAAGTTTAGATCAGAGACTGGAAGTGGATAAATCTGAGAATGATCAGCATACGGGTGTTGCTAAAGTCTTGGGAACTGATGAGGCTAAAGATTATCACTGAGAGATTCCCACTGCTAAGAGGAGAAAAGAGCCCCACTGGGCTACAACAAAGAAGGTGAGGGTGTGGACAGAAGATGAGAGTTCAGTGGAGAGATCCTGGGAAGGTGCGGATTAGCATGGAAAAGGGTATTCTCTCCTGCTAAAGCAGGAATCCTAGCTAAAACCGACTGCCCACCTGTCACGTGCCCACACCTGTGCATATAAGAATTGGCAGAAGCCCCACAACTGGACAGATGGGTCTTACACAGTCACTATCACAAACAGCCACAGGTGCCCTCACCATACTGCCAGGCAATCCAGTTATCCTTCCCTGATGATTCTGTCTGCTCAAACCTCCTCTCTCTTCAATACCTTTGGTCTTTCCCTCTGACCCAGGTCTGATGTCCAGGGCTCTTCATCATGTCTCAGAAGAGAAGCCAGAGACTTTATTCCCATTATGAAAACTACAAGCTCCATGCAGCAGCATCTGTCACCTCTGCCTTCCCCGACAGGGAAAACCTGCCCCTCACTTGTACACTGGACCCTGTCTCACTTTGGACTGTGATACTCTTTCTACTATTCTTTATCAGCAAACAAGCATTCTTAGGAGAGCCCACCTTAAAAAAACAAAAGAGCTTCTGAACCCCACACCTGCCTTGAGCTACCCACCCATCTCTGTTCTTCTTCACAGCAAAACTGCTTAAATGAGTTGTCCAAGCATGTGCTTCAACTTCCTTACCTCCATTTTACTTTTCAACCCATTTCTATCTAGCTTCTGTCCTCACCAGTCCAGTGAAAATGCCCTCATAGAGAGAATCAATTCCCCCTGCAGGGAAAGCATTAGATCCCTTTCTGCTTCATCCAACCTGTGTTGGGAGCCTGTAGCCCCACACCCCTCCTTGTGTGACCATGCCTGCGTGACAACCTGCTTGCGCCAAGATGGCCATGCTTACGTGATAACTGCCTCGTAATCTGTTTGTGCCGGGAATTCTGTGTTCCCGGCTGCGCAAGTTTACTCAAGGGTGACCTTTATCTTCTTTCAAGTTTCTGCTTTGCTGTAAAGATTGGGGGCTGCTCTGCGTCAGGAATGTCCTGTCTTTGTTTCCTCTCAAGACCTTATCGCATTCCTGCATTCCTGACTTCCTGCAGTATGCCTGCTTCTTTCCTATATAAGATGTAACCTTAGAGCCAATAAACGAGACTTGATCAGAATACTGTCTTGTCTCAATTTCTCGAGTCTCTTGTTCCATCCCATTCCCACTCCCCCCTCCAGGGTCTGCGTTGAATATCCCGCGGGTCGGGACAAACCTGACCTCCAGCATCTCAGCCCAGGTGCCTGCTCCCTCCTCCTCCAGCTTCCAGGGCCTCCCTCCTGGCATTCACCTTTGACCTCCCCTCCAGCTCCTCTTCCACCTTCTTGACTGGCTCCTCCTCTCCTGCCTGTCCTCAGAACACTGCTGCTCCTCAGGGCTCGAGCCTGGCTGCCTTCCCACACACT